GTGTGTGTGTGTGTGTGTGTGTGTGTGTGTGTGTGTGTGTGTGTGTGGAGGGACTGTCTTACAATTTCAACACTGGGGGCAAAGAAGGAGTGACTTTGCCAGTTCCAGTTAGATCATGTCTGTACCAGGAAAGGAAGCTGAGTTTGCTGTCGCCTTAGGTGGAGCTCGTGGCTCTAACTATATCCCTTTCTTCCTCAGCGCATACATAAGCCTCACCATGTGTGGAAGATCCCCACTCCATTTGCAAGCCACGCTTTTCACCCTGTGGACGGCTTCCTTCAGAGTCTGCCCTACCACATCTACCCCTTTGTCTTTCCACTGCACAAGGTGGTCTACTTAGGTTTATATGTCTTGGTTAATGTCTGGACAATTTCTATTCATGATGGTGATTTCCGTGTTCCCCAGGTTCTAAGGCCATTTATTAATGGGTCAGCTCACCACACGGACCACCACATGTTCTTTGACTATAACTACGGGCAGTATTTCACACTGTGGGATAGAATTGGGGGCTCTTTTAAACACCCCTCCTCCTTTGAAGGGAAGGGACCGCACAGTTACGTGCAGAAGATGGCAGAAGACTCCAAGAGCCATGCAGAGAATGGCTGTAAAAGCAAAGAATTATGCAATGGAGAGTTTACAAAAAATAAATAGACTATTTCCCAGTTATTAGCGATTCTAAATAAGGAAATTATCTACACACAGTCAAGATACATAGCAAATAAGTGGTGTCATTTGAATGTCAGCATGGCGTGTCGTGCTGAGGAATGGTCCTGGGGGTGAACTGAGGGAAGATGCACCGAGATTGTAATCTCATTACTAATACGCCAGACATTGGTCCAGGAACAACTTATGTCTTTCCAGTGAGCAGATGTGCAGCCTGTACAGCCCAACAACAACTTTAAATACGATAGAAAATAAGCTATGGAAGAAGCTGGTCTGCGTCCTTTTGCCTTAATCCACTCATACTCGTTAAGGAAAAAAGTTACCCATTGTGCGTAACAAAACTGAGACTAGCCTGGAAATACTAATGTAAAGATGGCTGCTGTTCCAGGAGCGGCTGGCTCTGCAGTGGGGGTAGAGGACTTGCAGGGCTTTAATTAAATAGGAACATCAGCCTGAACAAGCTAATACATGAGTGACTATGTATATGATTTTCTTAACGGCTGATGTAATAAGATTGTATTTTCTTCCTACACATAGGCACCTTACTTGGAGGCATTATCAGATTTTAATAATGAATAAATAAATGGTTATTTTTTTGAATGTCAGCTCTTCCATGATTCAGTCTAGATAGGAGATTACTTAACTAAAGATCTTGATGAGTGTCATCATTTTTTATTTTCTATTTTTTGAGACAGGCTTTCTCTGCATAGTCCTGGCTGTCCTGGAACTCGCTATGTAGTCCAGGCTGGCTTCAAACTCGGAGATCTGTCTGACCCCGCTGGGATTGAAGGTGTTCACCACCACTGCCCTGCTTGATGTGGGCCATTTAAAACCACTGTTTAATAAGCCCAGAGACATGAATCTGGATAAGTATCTCCCAAAGTTGTGGCACCTAGGTGACACATTTCTTTTAAATAAAGTGGATACACTGTACTTTTGATATATGTCTAAGTTACAAAGTTAACTTTTTTGTGAAGGGAATAATTACCAAGTACTTAAATCTACCTGAGATATGCTTTGAAACCTCATCCTGTATTTCTGTCTTCTCTTTCTACAGCCTCTGCAAAAAAAAAAAAAAAAAACAAAAACAAAAAACAAAAAAAACCTCACACTTTCATGAAGAAAGGTGAGGGTTATAAGTATATTCTCAATGGTAGGAAATATGTTCTTGTAAAGATATTCTATTGCCTATTTATACAAAAAGCATTAAAAGTTAGTCACAGCTGCTATTAGCCACTTAAGTGTTATAGAACAAAACATCCTTTGTATAAATTAGTGTCACTTTGAGGTCATAGAGGTGATGTGGGCATTAAAAACTGAGAGCATCCTAGATGTTCAGAGTCAGGCTGTGCAGGATGAAAGTGTTACTGCAAGGATGTCTTTTACTCAGCAAATCCTTTCTCATTACGTTGGCATTCTAAAGTGTTCTGAGGGAGAAGAAACGAGAAATTAGGATCTAGACTTCCTTTTACCTGGAAATACAGTCCATCTGGGTTTTGAATACATAAGCATCACTAAGTCAAGGACTGATTGGGCTGTTGGATGAAACTGACATCCGGCTCTTAGCAGTGTGCTGGGGTTGCAAAATGGTCCTCAATACACACCACTTGATACTGCATCAAGAAAAGGCTAACCCCCCAAATGGGACGTATCTCTCACCCCTAGCCTCCAAGGATCAGAGAACATGAAGGAAGAGGAGGCAGAAAGATTTTGAGAGCAGCGGCCAGGGAAGAATGCCACAAGACTCTGGACATGAGGAGCCTTTGTGCTTGTAAACACACTGCCCCTGTGGACGCCTGTACACGATCCAATCAGTGAACATCCCAGGGCCGGTGGGGTGATGGATGGGTGGGGACCTACAGGGTCCCACCTCCAGCTGAAGAGCTATGGACAGTTGATGGCTGCCAGGGAAGGGAGAGTCAGTTTGCAGTAGTGCAATCTCTTAAGTTGCTTTTAGGCCAGTGGGTGTCCCTGCACCCCCGAGGCAAGGGGCACCTCTACTTGGACTCTGGCTTATAAAGCAAAAGAAGATAGGAAATTGAAAGAGGGCATCTGAGAGAAGTTGGGTGAGGAAAATGTAGCGTGGAGTGGATATGATCAGAGGGCATCGTGTATGTGTGCGAAATAAAGAAAACTTGAGAGGCACAGCTGCGCTGCTAATCTTCAGCAACACCTCAGGAGTTGCTAAGAGCCTTGGGGTTAGGAAGTGTGAGTCACAGCAGGTGCCCTTTCCAGCTTTGCTTTCCCCATCTCATAGAGAATGAGTCACTGTCTCCCAATAGGATCAGGCACGGAGAATGGTGGCTTCTGTTTTCTGGGTTCAGTGATGGTCATTCTTAGTCTTCTTGCTGGATCCCCAGTAGGAGGATGGCGGAGGAGGCTATGTCCCCTTCACACTGGAAGGTGAAGACACGGAGATGAGTTACAGGAATATGTAAGTAAAATTGAAAAGATATTACTCACTCTGAATTATCCTTGAAGAGGTAAAGTAGCTAGGATTTTTGTTGCTGTAGCACTGCATGTCATAAACCAGTCCACAGTAAAATTGAGAGACAAACTAGAAGCTTGTTTTTCCCAAAAATAGAATAAACTGCTTAAGAAAAACAGAAAGTGTGTGATATAGGCATTACCACCAAGGCAGGGTTTGGTATAGGAAGAAAAAAAAATTCATAAAAACTTGTCTTATACATACTTGCTTTGTGAAAATACATTGAGGATAATTTAATTATTCAGGGGCCAGCATGTAGCCTAATGGTAGAGTCCATGCTTTCCATGTTTGAGGCCTCAGATTCATCCCCAGCCTCACAAAAATATTTTCTTCCTATATCTCTAAAGTCAAATGGGAGGTTTTTATTAATTCTAAGTGTAATAGAAAATAAAAATAAGTTGTATTCTGGATTCTTTAACAGTGAACTCCTAAGTTGAGCCTATCAAATTCTCTTGAACTTGTAACCATTTGCCTTTTTATAATGAGAGTTTCTTAAATTTGGTAAGAGACTTACCATTTTGATTCAGTCCCCTGGTCAGACTTGTGTCCAGGTACCTGGACAGCATCCCATCACGTGGAGGTAACCACCTAAAAGTGGGATGGTATCAGAAGTTAGTCATTTGACTTGAAGCCATCTGTGCCCTCTCCTGGAGCCAGCTTATCTCATAGCTTTTGTTATTCTCCTCCACCATTTTTGTCCATCTCCTTGAATATTGTAATTTTACTCAGCCATTCATTGGATGAAAATTGGACATGCTGCCAAAGAAACAAATAGAAACTTGGTGTACATCCATCTATTAAGGCGGGCCCTGGGCCGATGGCTCTGTCTGTTCCGGCAGTATGCTTGCTTTCATAGAGTTAAATGTGCCTGTCCTAATGGACAGTTCAGCCTTGACATACCAATGTCACCATCACTAAAAGTCAAGACAGAACATTTTCTTCATCACAGCATGCATTGTCTCCCTCTGCAGTCGGTGACCCCTGAATCACACCCCCCCCCCCCAGGTAACCACTGATCTAGACTGTCCCTGGGGATTCATTTTGCCTGTTGTAGAATTACATTTAAGTTGAATCAGATGAGATATACTCCTGTATTGAGGGGTTTTCTTTAACTTAACATGTTTTGACATGTGTGCTGTTGTATTTACCAATAGTTTGTTCTTTTTATTGGTGAGTAGTATTCCAATTATGATATACTTATTATGCTAAATAATAAGCTACAATTGGCCAATCTGTGTATCTGTTGACGGGTATTTGAGTTATTTCCAGCGTGACTATTTTTGAATAAAGCTACTGCAGACATTTATAAACAAATTGTGCGGACCCGGGTTTTCATTTCATTCTTTTGTTAGTGGTGGTTTGCTTTGGTTTTTTGGTTTCTCAAGAGATGGTATCTCTGTGTTGTTGTCCAGTTTTCATAAGAAACGGTCAGCCGGGTTCTTGAGCAAGTGTACCATGTTAGAGTCCCACTAGCAATGTGAGAGCCCTGCTTTCCCTGCTGCCTCACTCACAGTATTGACAGTCTTTATTCTCAAGGCATTACTGCTGATCAGTTTGCATTTTCCTGTGAGTAGTACAGTTAAACACTTTAAAAAAAAACAAAAACAACAAAACCTGTTCATGCATTTTTGTGTGTGTGTGTGTAATATTTGTTAGTTTTTTGGCCAGTTAAAAAAGCCAAATTATCATTATTATTAGTAGTAGTAGCAGTAATAGCAGTAGTATTTGCAGAGTGTTATTACCCTCATTATTATTACCATTAGCAGTGAACTCAGTATTTGCCAGAGTCTGGTAGTGTTAGTTTTAGTAGTAATATTTGCCAGAGTCTAGCTGAATTTTCCCAGGTGGGCTGGATTCTCAGTGTAGAAAGGCTGACCTTGAACTTGCCTCAACCGTTCCTCTTGAGAGCTGGAATTACAAGTATGTACCAACCAGTCTTAGCTAGGCTTTCTGTTGCTGTGTGAAAGACCCTGACCCAAAGCTACTCTTCAGCTTACACTTCCATCACTGAGGGAAGATGGGGCAGGAACCTGGAGGCAGGAACTGAGGCAGAGGTGCTGGAGGAACACTGCTTACTGGCTTGCTCTTCATAGCTTGTTAAAAAACTGCCCTATAGTACCCAGGACCACCAGCAGTGAGCTGGGCCCTGGCACATCAATCAAGGAAACATAGCACAGACCAATTTGATGGGGGGCACTTCCTCAATTGATGTCTCCTCTTCCAAAATAATTCTAGCTTGTGTCAAGTTGACAGAAAACTAGCCAACACACCACCCGCACTCCTGGTTTTGCTTTGTTGATTTATGAGAATTCTTTATGTAGTGACACAAATTTTTCTATGTATTTATTAAAGAATCTACTCCAATCTGCCTTGTCTTTTCATAATAATGTCTTATAAGGAAAAATGTTGAATTTAGGTTAATAGCAACTTGACAACTTTTGTCTTTCTTTCGACTGCATTTCCTGTTTTTCTAAGACATCTTAACTTTTCCCAAAGCATGTCTGGAAGTTGTGGTAAAGTTTTGTTGTTTTTCATTTTTCTGGGCAGGAACTCACTGTGTGGCTCTCCCCTCTCTTCTCTTTCCCTTCCCATGTTTCGAGGCTGTGACTACGTGAGGTATGTTCTCCTCCATGTTTGGGTGTGACTCCTAGTGGTTTGGTGATCTCAGAAATTTCAGTTCATGTCACACGGTTCTGTTTGGGTGTGGTCAGGCAAAAGATCATGCCAGGGAGCACATTTTGCACATTGACTGCAGCCTTGAGTCTAGATGACACACACACTTGGCCCAGTGCGTGCCCATATAATGACTACCAGCAAACAAGCCTGAGCACCTTGGCTCGGCTTCTAGCCTACTGTGTCTTAGAACCACAGTGTTTATAGTGCAAACGAAGTCTTCTGCTCACACATAATGGTCTCTGGAACACAAAGACTTCTGGTGTTTTACTACTATCACGCCTCAACATGTGAATATCAAACCAGCACATATTCTGGTTGGAGTGTATCAAATGTTTGCTTTCCAAAGTTGCTGTTTGGTTTGCTCACTTGAGTGTCATAAAAACTGTGGAGTAAATTTGGGCTTGGGAATAGAACAGAATTGTTAACAGTTTCTGAAATAGCCCTAAATATGCTTGTACTGTGTATTTATGAGGAACAGTGTTCTCAGCACTGATGATTATAAAATCAAACTGTCAGGGCTGGAGAGAAGGCTCAGTGATTGAGCGCTTCCTGCTCTTCCAGAGGATCCAAGCTTGGTTCCCAGCATCCATGTTGGGTGGCCCACCCCCTCTATTACTCCAGTTTCTGGCCTCCACAAGCACCTGAGCATATGTGGCATGCACTCACACATACACGTAAATAAAACTAAAGTCTGAGTCAACTTTGAAAAAATCATTTTCACTATTCATATAAAAATTATTCATGTAAAAATAAGTACATCCATGTCATTAGTATAAACACTTTCTTCTTCAATAAATGGTAAAATTCTATCTAAACCAGTTCTCCTAAACTAACAAGTGTTTTAACTGAATTTCTTTATGATTTATTATTATTAGGTACTTGGTTTGTATGCCTTTTTAATATGCCTGTATACTCAAGGCCACATAAAAATTTCTGTGGTGGAAAGGGGCTACAAGTTGAGAAGCCTAAGTCCTAAAGTAAGGTCAAGGCTATAAACACCATGAGAACATTTCCCGAGATCAGTTCCCCACACTTTCCCAGCCTTTCTGTGGACCTATGCTCATCTCTGAAGGACAAAACATTCACAACATCATTCAGGAGGCAAGACTGGGATCCCAGCTCCAGAACTGAGAAATAAAATTCCATTTTCAGCTTTTGTTACAGCAAAACTAAGAATAATGTGTGCCCATGATCTTACAACTTGGGAGGTAGAGGTTGGAGGATCAGAAGTTCAAGATCATCCTTGGCTACATGAGGAGTTTAGGGCTAGCCTGATATACATTAGATCCTGTCTCAAATAAATTAAAGCAACAAAACAGCCAACATTTCATATATATTGTGGCAGAAACACAGATGGACTAAGGTTCCAATTTCAAGATTCACTGATTTTCCTTAGTTGCTTATCTTAAGGTTCATCAAATCTGTTCTTCACTTCCCCCTTCAATTATTTTACCTTTTGGTTGCTCATTTCCCTCTTTACTCCTTAAAATGGAGGCTCAGATCCCTGATTTAACATTTGCCTGCATTGATATAAACATCTGGTGCAACGAAGTTCCCCCAGAGGACTGCTGTGGCTATAGCTCACCATTTTGCTATTGACTTGAGAACTCTCACTTCGGTGGGATTTTGCTCCTCACCAGCGTTATGGTAGTTTGACATTGCTTCCTCAACTGAGCCACAGGCGTGGCTCTCACAGAGGCTTTTCTGATCACTTTCAGCATGGTACAGGGCAATCTCAAGTGAGACTTAGAAGGTGAAAGTGATAGTGGCTCTTTTAGGCCTCCGGATGAGGAAGCTGTTCAGCTGTTGCCTCATTACTTGGCTGGCCCAAGGCAGCTGGCCACCACACCTGTGTTTCCTGTCAGAGCCCCTTCTGTGTTTCCAAATTCTGGGCCCGCTGCATGTGTGACTCCACAATGAAGGATCCTGGCATCCAAAGAAGGGTAGTCTCATCTTTGAGTGGAGGCTTCACTGAGGCTTCACTAGAGAGATGACCCCATGATTAAGAGCTGAAGAGAACTGAAGTCCAGTTCCCAGCACCCAAGTCAGGTGGCTTCCAAGTGCCTGTAACTTCAGCTCCAGTGGATCTGACGGTGCCTGCTTGAGCACAGTTGCACACACACATGAAGTTAAATTTATTTTTATAAGTTGAGGCTTTCAGGGGATGGTAGAAGATCTGTCTGGCTAAACCCCACTCTCTAGCTTGTCCCCTCCTCATGTTCGTCTTTTCTTGCTGTTCTGCTCGGTGTCTCTGGATCTCAACCTCAGATGTGTGACCACCAGAAGCTTTCCCTCTTGTCTCCGGTCAATACTCAGTGCCCAAGTACACACTGATGAAGACTTTCATCTTGAACCAGGCTCCACAGGTCAGTGCTGTCAGAACTGGTCCTCCCTGTATGATGGGTTCTCAGACATGATTGAATGGAAATGGAGGGAGGACCTGTGAGATGGCTCAGTGGATAAAGGTGCTTGCTGCCAAGCATGACCTGAGCTCTTTACCCCTTAGGATCCAAATGGTGGAGGAAAGATGATTCTCTCCCTTGGCTTGGCTTACAGCTTACACACACACACACACACACACACACACACACACACACACACACGTATATAGTAAGGTTTTTTTTTTTTTTTCCTTAAAGATCACCTGTAGATCTCTATAAAGTGCCTACAGGAAGGGCTTTAGAGGAACAAAGGCATATTGCATATATCACTTTAATGGAAACAAAGGGACAGAGTTGGTTAATTGCTCCTCAGTGTGCTGAACTTAAGCAAATAAATGATGAACCCGTGACCTCAAACTCCTGGTTCAGGGCCTAGTGTCTTAACAACCCAAATGGTCACTAACTTTTCTAAAATAAAGCCAAATGTCCCATAGTTAAAAGCCCAAGCTTTCAGAAAACTGCTTCAAAGTTCAGCTATGCTGGTAGTAAATTTGGTTTGTGGTCTCACCGTACTTTGTATATTAGAGGCACTGCATTGGTCAGTGCAGTGGTTTGAATACGATGTTTCCCAGTAAGTTCCAGGCATTTCAATACTTGGTCCCCTATTTGGGTAGCTTTAGGAGGTATGGACTTGTTAAGAGAAGTATGTTCCTGGGGGCTTGCTTAGAGGTTTCAAAATACTCAAGCCATTTTGAGCCAGCAGGGTCTGCCTCCTGTTTGTGGATCAAGATGTGTGAGCTCTCAGCTGCTGCCCTATGCCTCCCTGCTGCCATGCTCCCCAACGTGGTGATAGACTCGTCCCTTTGGAACTGTAAGTCCCGAATAAACCCTTCCTTTTATAAACTGTCTTGGCCACATTGTTTTATTACAACAATAGAAACCGTGACTAATGCAGTTAGGAGGGGGTAAAAATTTTAGAGTGGATAGGGATAGTCAGACAAATTTATAGGAGCCTGGGACATTGCTCAGTCCTTTCCAGCAGTGAGAAGATTCCCCTGAAGGATCAGTGTTTGGAGGTAGTGCTGTTTAGCCAAGGAGACACAGCATAGAGTTGATGTGGCTTCAGATCCTGGTTTGGTGCTCATGGTTAGGGACTGTCAACTGCCCTTTCTGTGTGATCATGTGTCAGGACACATTGACTTAATGAAAAGAGGAAGCACCTCTGATGTAAGCCCCAGTAAGTGGCTGCCCTTGTTTTCTAAGTTTAATCTGATAAACAAGACACCTTTGCCTTTTAAAAAGTTAAACTCCACTTCGGGAATGATGGCTTTCAAACTCTGTTCCATTCTGAGACTACCATCTTACAGGAAAATCCCTGTGATTCAGTCATGGGGCTGAATTATAACATCTTAACCCTTCTTTAAAGATTTTTTAAAATATTTTATTTATTTATTATGTATACAATGTTCTGTCTGCATGTACACTTGCATGCCAGAAGAGGGCACCAGATCTCATTATAGATGCTTGTGAGCCACCATGTGGTCGCTGGGAATTGAACTCAGGACCTCTGGAAGAGCAGCCAGTACTCTTAACCTCTGAGCCGTCTCTCCAGCCCCCTAAAGATTTTTTTAATGGATTCAGATCATGAGAAACTCATGTAGGTGTCAACACTGGTGTTGCAAGACTGATCTTCTGTTTGCAGAGGAGCAAACAATTGTGTCCATTCCTCAGTGTGGCATAGTGAGTTCACAAGCCTGAATGGTAACTTGTAAGGAAACTATGATGTTTAATGTTTAAACTATGATGTTTAATTTTAGAGCCCGTCTTGTCAACTTGACAGGCTCTAAAATTACCTAGGAGGCAAGCTTTTGAGCATGCCTGTGAAACAGAGTCTAGATTAGTTAGCTGAGGTAGAAAGACCCGCCTTAATTGGCTACACCATTCCACAGGCTAGGATCTGGAATAAAGAGATAGAAAACGAGGCAAACATAGAATTCATGGCTCTCTGCTTCCTGGATACAATGGGACTAGCCAGCTTCCTGTTCCTGTGTCCGTATCTTCTCTGACTACTGTCAAGTGTCCCTGGCCATGATGGGATGAGCTTCCTGAGCTGAAGCCACAGTAAAATTTTCTTCTCTTAAGTTGCTACGTGGTTACAGAAATGGGACACGTCATTAAATATAATGACTATGCTAATGAAATGCTAGCTTGGTTTGCAGTGCTGTGGCTGTGGAAAAAGCAGCCCCTCCTGAGTGAGCTCACTGAGTGGCTATGGATAATCCCCTCATGATTCTATTCCAAGTCGTATTCTGTAGGAAGCTAAGGAGTTTCCCAGGCTTCTGAGTTAGTAGCTGGCTAAAAGGTTCCCACTCCTTTCAGAGAGTGTAGCATCCAGATACTTGAATAGTAAGTAGGTGTAGGAAAGGGCCATGTTGGGCCCAGGTGTAGAGTTTGCAGAGTATGAACTGGGGTTCCAGGGAGAAAAGCCACAGCAATGCTACAGAGCCAATCCCGCCAGTTCACTGGCTGATTAGAACTTCTGTGTTGTGGAGAACTGGAATACTACTAGACCAAACTGTTAGTGTGCAGGCAATTCCGCTGCGCTGCCCTCAAGGACCTAGCAATTGCTTATGACATGATCTGTCTCAGGAGCAACAGGTGTGTGTTGCGTATAAAATGACCTGCCCACTGCTCAGCAGCTCTGTGTGTGTGTGTGTGTGTGTGTGTGTGTTCCCAGCATCCCCTCTATCTGATCTCTGTGGGCTCCCCTCCCATCTGCCCCCTCCTCCTGCCCTCATGGCTCTGAATTTGTCTGCCTATCTACATGTCCACTTGTTTGCCACTATCCTTCCCCCAGGCCCTCCTCTCCCTTCCTCCAATAAACCTTTTCCACACCAGATCTGTTGCATTGTATAATTTTTTAGGAGCACACCTTGTCATGGGCCCACCAAAGGTACCCCTAGCATCATTATATTTCATAATATTTGGTGCCATAACTTGGATGGGCTCTCTTGGTGTCTGGCCACAGTAGGCTCTCAACTGCCACTATACCTGCCTGTGACAGATTTGGTCTCTGGTCCACTCCATCCAACACCGAAAACAGACAACACCAAAAATCTCAACTCAGCTTAAATGCTTCTCTGAGCCTGACCATTTCCCTGGATGAGGCTTCATTTCTCCAGCACAGTTTTTTTTTTTCTTAGCCTTCTGGTTCCTCTTGAAAATTCTGGTACAACTGTGTCTGCTTGTGCTTTTAGCAATGGCCCTGTCTGAGTGAATGACATTTCACCAGGACAGCTTGTATATTTTCAGTTGGGTCTCCCCTGGGTCCTTGGGACATCATGGACCCAGGCCTGTGACTCCTCTTCTCATTGATGGGTACTGTGTCCTAGTAACCTCCCTAAACTTATTGAACCTGGCCTCAATATACTTCCCAAGTGATGGGAGAACATGAAAAAAATGTCCTTTCTGTATTCCTTTTTCCCCACTCCAAGCCCTGTATTTTTCTGTCTGATTTCTCTCCCCACACTATGTAAACATCTTGCCTCTAAGTCTTCAACCAGTTGGAGACAGATGGAACCAGCGGCTGCAACACACACCACACACACACACACACACACACACACACACACACACACACATACACACACACACACACACACCACACCACACCACACCACACCACACCACACCACACCACACCATTTCCACTGCATCAACAGCACTCAAAACCACTCCTGAGGTATGTACAGATCATTTGTCTGTGAATTTAATTCCAAAGTCTAGAATCTGGTTCTTCCACATGGCTCTGGCTCTCACCCTGCCCACTTTGGGCCACTCCCTGTCCCAGCCTGCACTAAGCTAAGTGTTCTCTCTCTCTCGGTCTCTCTCTCTCTGTGTCCCCTTTCATGGACTCAGAATTTATTACAAGTTGGCACAACTGATTTCCAAATTCTCACTGCCACAGGCAAATGATTATCCAATATCTTATATCTAAACATGCTCTGCCCTACCATTAAAGTTCTACTTCCCCTTTCTTAATCTTTCATCTCTGATTTCTTTGCACTCTGCTCCAAAAAACAAAAACAAAAACAAAAAACCTTAAGATTATGCTATAAACGTTATCTAAGGATTTCTAAGTCGCTCATTGGGGATGGCTTAAAATCTATTTCATCTACAACAATATTTGGCTTTAAATTTATATAACAAAAGGCTTATAATTAAAAATCTATACATAAATAGGTATACAGTTTCAGCTTTTGTTTAGATCATATATGTATGCATGTATGCGTGTATGTGTGTATGTAGATCAATTCAACTCCCTATGTGTATATATGCATGTAACTGGGAGACAACTCTCATTTTAAAAACTTTGTATGTATAGAAACACACAAATGTTTTAAAATAGTAACCATGTCAGCCGCATAGCTTGCAACCTGCCGTGTGATTTCACCATCTTAAGATGACCACGTGGTATAGAGCAACAATTATAAAATGTCTCAGTCCTGTGAGCCCTTAGTTTATTACTGTGTCTCCTTTTGGACTAACGAAGCAACAAGTCTCAAATATTTTAAATTGGTATGGACTTCTGTGTGACGATGATAGAAATTCAAAGTTATATTTGCTACAACATACTGTATGTGTGATGTAACCCTCGTTTAAAATACTCTGTGTATGATGATAATGAAATGTCAAGGTTATGAAGGTCTATTCAGAGTAACAAAAGCTAATTTAAGATGTTCATGGCCACTGCATGCTTGTTTCTGGCTGTGTTGAATGTGTGAATAATTGCTGTTTCTTTTTCCTGGTGCCAGGTACCTGGGCTCAAAATTCACTTCTGGGCTTTCTGGCCCCTGGACTTAATATAACAGGTATTCAAATATTACTTAAATGTGGATGATATTAAAATTGTTTTATACTGTTTATTGCTGGCTCTGAAAATGCATTTCATGCCTTTCAAACCAGGCATGTTTTAAAAGTCTAGGGTAAAAAACAGAATTATTGGCTTATAAATTATTGGATATGTTTAAAAATCTGTAATATCTATAACTAAAGGTTAACTTAAAAATCATTACTTGGAGTTAGTAATTGAAAGTCTGTGCTTAGATAATCTTAAACCATATGACACGATCCCATTCTGGGATATAAACATCAATTGGCTGGTTGTTATCTTTGCTAGGGTTGGGGACGTGGAAGTCCCGGCCTCGCCATCATGACTAAGGGCAGCAGCATATGACATGAGCTGACAAAGGAAACATGTCTCTAAACATACTTTTAACTGGGAAAGAAATTTGTATTATTCCTGCCCTATCTTAAGAACCAGGTTTATAGAAGACACGCTTTAAAGCAATGCTTGGTTAATGATGTATTAAAGCCACACCTCCATGCATTCATACACAGGAATGTACCTTGCTGACAGCCAAACCTGGTAACATAATAGTGACCCACTTGGTATTAATGTCAGAGACAGTGAATTGTTTATGTTGTTAGAACTTGGTTTCCCCTTTTAAAAATCATGGTTATGCTCTATGTCTTCACTCGTAAAAATGTACTTTATTTTAATATTACAAAAACACAATTGAGAGATTTTTAAATTTCTTTAACTTTTTTTGAGGTTTACAACATTGAAAATGTTAAAAATTGCAGTTTAAAATATGTTTAGCCTTGTTTTTGCTAATGTTATTAAGCTGTAGTATTTTTTAATGAACTATATCATATGGGAAACTGTTATGTTCTATAATGATACATGATATAAAGGTCAAAAAAGTTCCCAGTCTCTTAACGGACTTATAGATTAAAAAGTTTTGTTTTGGTGCTGAAAGTCTCCAATTTAAAATTGTTATTTCAAATCTAAACCTAACAGGGATAAAACATAAAGTCCTAGTCTTATGAAACCTACTAAAGTATCATAAACCGTTAAGGATAATTGAGAAATGCAAATCCGTAGTTAGTCACCTTATAAATGATCAAATGCTTTAATGTGTTCAGAAATATAATTTTAGTACTGATAAAATTAATTATAAATATGAAGCTTTATTTAGCCTTCTATTTTATGTTTGCAAGGTATAGTTTAGAGCAGATAACTAAAAACAGGATTCTTTAACTCAGATAGGTGCTAGCTCTCAAGCCTGTCAGAGACCTGCTGAATATGATGTTTAAGATGTTTAAACTTACTATGAAAGACAGAGACTCCAAATCCTTAAGTGATGACCTCACCCCACCCCCCACAATGTCTGTAAGAAGATAATGGGCACAAAGACAAAGAACTCTACCTGGATTATGGTATGTTAATCACTAGACAAGATTGCCCCAATGCCTTTCCTGCTGCTAGGGCCCAGCTTGACCTGTGGACAAGCAGGGCCTAGAGATTTGGTTGCCCCACTTTTTCTAAGATAAGGTGAGGTCAGTCTCTCCCATGTTCCTCCTCCACAGAAAAAGCCTCTCATCTTCTGGGCCTGATGGCCAAAGATTACCTCTGCCCATGGTGACATGGAGATCACAGGACCCTGAGACAACTTTCTAGGTAATGGACTATGGACTAGTATCTTTTAATTGATACATAGACCATTTAGATTATATTTTGTCCTCCTTGGGTCTCTGATCACATTGATGGCTAAGCTAACTGTAGCTTGACAGCTAGAGAACAACAGGCAACTAGCTCCTTACCCCAAGGTAATCCACCACTGTGTTAGCTCATTAGTCAATTCATTAGTTAGTTAAAGACTCCTAGATCTCTTATTTAAAAAGGCAAACACGTTTGCACCCAAGCGGTGCTCAGCGATCTGTGTTGTCGGACAGAACCCTGGCTGCAGCACCCAGAAGTACTTGTACTTTCAGAGGAGTGAAACCTGTTACCATAAAGAGTTGTAAGTAGATGAGTCCTGGGACATATAACTGCCCATTAGCATTAAAATTTACGTAAAAAATATTGTTTGAATATCTGCAAAAACTGAGTATCTGTATTTCTACTTCCTGGTGTGTTGTAGCGTGATGATCAAACTGCTGGGCATCATTGTCAGTGACAGCTGGGTCTGCACATCAGTTACCTCTCTTAGGCCTGTGAAGTCTCCCTGAGCTTGTTTTCTCACTTTGGCGATGCGGCCTTGCTAGGCCACAGAGGAAGAGGATCCAGGCAGTCCTGATGAGACTGGATAAGCTATGGGCAGATGGCAGGGGAGGAGAACTCCCTCTTTCAGTGGACTAGGGGAAGGGGAGAGGGGTGAAGAGGAAGGGAGGATGGGACTGGGAGGAGTTGAGGGAGGGGGCTTTAATTGAGATATATAATGAATAAATTATAAAATAAATAAATAAATAAAATAATAGAAAAAAGGCAAACAGGTTTGCCTCGCTCACAGGCTTCATGTTAAAAGATAAACAGGTTTCAGAAGTAACTTTTTACTCTTCCTTTATCTAAAGGAACTTGACTTACAGTGATTGCTCCCAGTAATCAACCACTTATGTTTTATGGTAAATAATTGAATAGGGAAAAGATGTGAGTTTTTGTAAGGTCTAGGGATACTGAAGCTTAAGTTGTGAAAATCTAAGAATGTGTTTTAAGGTTGGTAAATACATATCAGACTTAAATGGTAAGGAAGTAATTTAAAGTACATAAAAAATGCTTCAGATTTCTTCCTGTTGCTATGCTACTATTGTATTAAGACTTCACAGTTTAGAACTTTAACATTAATCAATGGAATTTGGATAAGCTACTAGGCTCTCTCTGGTAAAACCTTCCACTATAGGATCAACTATCATAGTCACAAGTTCAATATTTTTAATTTCCTTTGATTGTCTTTTAAGTATATAGACTCAAAATGTTTCTCATACATGTTTCTCATGTATAACTTTTATACATCCAGTCTTCTGGACAGAGGGAAGAAGCCCCTCTTCTGCAGTTTGTCGTCAGACTGAAAACCAAGATCAGGTGAGCTTTTGCCCCTTCTGCTCCATGGAATGTTTTTGTCTTCCCTGAACTCACCTGAAAGAATGTAAGAATGTTCATGCTTTTAACCCAAAACTATTTACCAAGCCTAAACACACACACACACACACACACACACACACACACACACACACACACACA